ACACCTGGCTCCAAGCCGATCAAACGGAAGAGGCGAAGAAACGCCTGACCTGCATCGGCAACATTGTCATGCCAGATGTAGGTTTCCTTGCTTTACAGCTTTTGGGGCATCAAGAAAGGGCCCAAGGCTAAATATGTTCCGGGCTGTGGCTCCAAATTCATGCCCACTGCTACCAATTCAGATGTTCCACATGCGAGGGATTCGTCGCAGGTGGACAAAACAAGGTTTCGATCAATGTTCATGAGTATGTTCATGCTTTCTTGTGCCGGCATGTGACTTTGATTGCTAGCAAATGACATTTAATCTCTAGTGAGAGCTGATTTTGGTCTCTAGTGAGCGTTGATTTTGGGCTCTCCGGGCCTCCGGGCCCACGGTCTCGGCCTCCACCACTGCCTGCCAGATCGCGCTCCCGTCCTGTTTGCGTTTCAATTCAAAGCGTCTCATCTTGGCACGTTTTTCATACACTGGCCATTGCACCATGTCCGTTGACCGTGCGGCTTCAGGTGTTTTTCGTAATGTTTTGGGCAGTTGGGTTCAACTCATACTCATACCACGCTAAATTTTACATGTCTTGGTATCATATAAATGGATATCGATTGTATGATTCAATCCCAGAGACATGTGGATATGTTTTTTGAGTAGTACACCACTGGCGCCCGACCCATTGTTCGCGGTGCCTTCTCGGCGGCGGCCTGGCCAACACCGCAGGCGTCTTCAAGGCCTTGGAGGACTACTCTTGTTGATGAAAGTCGCAGGTTTGACATAACTTCACATCTCGTTGAAGCCCAACCTTTCCCTCCCTCCAACATTCAGGTGGACCATATGTTTCTTGTCAATGACGCCCTCCATCCTTTCTGACGTCAATGCACTTACTGATGACGAAGATGCACCACCTGTTGTTGCTACACCAGACCCGGGGCCCACACAGTCGATCGAAGCGGTCGCCAAACGTCGGCCTGCAAAGCGCAAGCAAGTGACAATCGTCAATCGTGCAGCCAGTGGTGGATGGGCGTGCTTTGAGGCACAGAGTTGAAGGACCTTGTGGCTGTCGGTGCCAGTGCTTCGCCCCATTTAGAACCAGTGACACTTTTGATCAGCTGCGCAAGGTTCGAAAGGAGTTGATCGGGTTGGAGAAATTGGAGCAGGACAACTATGCCTTGTCCTTATAGTGAGTTTGAACTCGTTCGTTGACCTATGCCTGCAACAACCCTACCCCTGGAATGCTGAGGTCTTCAACCTGTTGAAGGGGCATGAGGTTGCGTGTCGTGGAGCCCGTCACCTCACCCTGCTGGGACACACTGTGTGCAATCGAGGGTTCATGCGGTTGGTTGGAATCGGGAAGAGTCGCTTTCGAACCATTTCCAAAGCAATCAATGAAGGCTTAGTGAGGTGTCCGATGGACGCCAGATTCTTGCCGAAGGAACCTAAACCCCAGAGAGCGAAGAGGCAGGCTGTTTGGGACTACTTGTGGGCCCTCTATGAACAGGCTGCGGAGCGGCTTCCGGATGGAAACACAGTGCATTCCAACAAGCGCCCAAGGCAAGGCGCATTCAAATATGACGATCCAAGCATGTCTCGTGATGAGGTACGCCACCTTCCACCTGGCACCTTCGCAGACTATTTGCGTCTCTGCCGGTCAGAGCTTCCCGATTACAAAATTTCCCGCCAGCTCTTTTGCTCAGCCAGAGCCTCAACATGATTTCTCAAAGGTATCGAATCATTGAAACTAGTCTCATCGGCGACCAACGCCCAGGTCTGGATGCAGGACTTCCAGCACCGTCTCCGACTCCGGCAGCAGAGTCACCACGCACGTTGTTCGATTTGCGTGAGGCACCGCCTCATCATTCGCCGCTTAGGCCGTGGCCCCGCCAGACTGGCGCAACTCGGGGAGTACAGGGGCCACCTGGCCCGTCAATACCGTGACCGCCAAGTATATTGGAGTCACAGAGCAAAGAGCAGAACTGAGGCGATATCAGGAGGCCCTGTCACCCACATTTTCATGATTTGCGACGGTATGGACCAGGCAAAACATGCATACCCCAAAGGGGATGCCCTCAACGCCAAGGAGTTCTCGAGCTGGGTGCGACCCCGTTTACAGGCGACCACAATCATTGCTCACGGCCATGCAATCCTGGTCGGACTCAGCCCCCAAAACACTCCCGGATCAGGTTCAAGAACCATGGAACTCATCGGATACATGATGACGAAACCATTGCATTACATACATTGGGCCAATGTATTTTTACATTTGGAGGCTGACAATTGCTCCCGTGAGCTGAAGCACCAGACTGGTTTACGCATGATGTCCTCTCTCATTGCACTTCACAGGCTCCGTGGCTGTGAGTTCAGCTACTTGAGTACCGGTCACTCTCATGAAGACATTGACGCTCACTTCAGCCTCACCAGCTCCTACCTCGACCGCTTCCGAGAACTTCACACCATCAATGATTTCCAGAACACCTTGCAAACAATGTTGAATAACAAAAGTGTGAGGGTGAATGAACCAACCAGAGAGGTCATTGTGTTCGACACCTTCCATGATTGGACTTTCAAATGAATTGGCATCATCTTTGATTCTGACCCTTGAAGTTTGAAGTTCCCCCCACTTCCTGTCACACCTCCATGCGCTTTCGCGCCTTTGCCGCCGGCAAGGAAGGGCACTTTGCCCACTACCTCCATGGACTGCACCTCAAGGGCATAGGCGGCCCCGGTGCGCCCCATGTGTTCCGTTTGGAGCGCGTGGCTGACGCAGGAGCCCTCAAGACTTGTGATTTGAATTGGAATCTGACTCTAAATCTAAATCTTTTGTGTAATCTTTCTAAATCTAAAACCATGCTTTTGGCGAGCGGTGGCAGGACTGGATCGCAAGTGTCTAATTTCCAAATTTTGGCGACGACGACATGCGGCGGAAGGGCCCAATGACGTGGTCCTGAGGATTGAACTGGTTATTCATGGGAGAATCTGACAAAGGGTAAAGGGATGTAAAATAAGACAAGTTGTCACAGTTCATTCTGGTGGATGAATTCTGGGAGGACCAAGCGGTTCATGAGCGATGAATCGTACCAGCCCAAAGTGTTCTTGTATTTGCCCGCCTCTGAAGCTCTCCGGCTGGGGCATGCTCCGCCACCTCCAGGCTTGGCAAGACTGTCAATGGACGTGCCAAATGCTTGCTTCCCAAGCAAAGTTTGGATGGGTATTCACATCGGTTTTTACTTTTAACCAACTGTCTGACAGTCTTTGTCAATGACGCTGTGAACATCGACAGCGAGGAGAACAAGACCCTGACAAAACATGCTGCTATTCTGCGTTGCAGCCCTAGACAACCGAACTAAAATACACCAGAAACCATAATACTGGGGTTCATGGACCGGGTTCGTTCCTTCTTACTTGATAGCCTAGGCCAACCTCCCTTTGACATGGTGAAGGCAGCTGAGTGCATCGAGGATCTTGCGAACAATATCACTGGTCGGTATCCGCTGTTGGATGTTCACAGGTTCGATTCTTAGTTGGAACACTTGTTTACAGCTATTGGAACCTTTATCCAGCCCAGGGGGTTCTTTCAAACACTCGCCCAGGTGTTTTCCGAACTCTGCGCCTTCGGTTGGGCCCGGCATCGAGTGGCGACCTCCAGCATCAGGACAGAACTTGGAAGCTGTTGCTCGAACGAATTTGGGTTGAAAGTGGTTGAGAGTGTCCGACGTGTTTCTTCTTTGGTACCGAGGCTCCAAATGAACTTAGACTGATTGCCGAAAGGCCTCCGCCCGCCGAGCGAAGGGGATATAGGAGGGCTGCTACTAGGGCAGCCCTGTACAGAGCTGCGGCCCGTTTGTGGGCCAGGGGATTAGATATGGCTTCGGCTGTATCCATTGTTGAGTCGGCTATGAGAGATGCCGGTGAGCTTTGATCATCATGTCTCTTTTGCAAAGCTAAGCTTTCAAACTCCTTTTGATATGCTCACCATGTCTCCAGCCTTTTCAGGGGGTAGTCGTTTTTGCTTGGCACGCTACTTGGTTCAGCCATGTTCAACTCCTCTTTCAATGTGTGATAGAACAACGCGATACTTGACTTAAACATGTGGACACAACTTGACCAATCACCAGTCCAAATGTGCCTGGCAAGCGCTCTGGTTGATCGATTCGATGCATTGAAATCCTCAGAAGCCAGGCTTGGAAAGCCAGGGTCTGAAGCAAGACTGATGCTTCAAGATCGAGCAACGTTGGGAAAGCAAAGTTTCAGCGGCCAGGGGTGCACGTGACACCAGACTCTTTGTACCTCTTGGTGATGTCTTAAACAGAAACTTGGTGAACCTTGAGGGATTGGATTGGTTCCTTTGTGAAGGCGTCCCATGCACAAAAGGCAAGGTGGTAAAGACCACCTATTGCGTGCTTGCGGGCACTGTCATCCATCACAAATCCCCTTCTACCAATGGGAAAAGTTTGTTGCGTAGAAAGAAAAAATATTTTCCCTTTTTGGGTTCAGTATCAAAGCTTTTGTGCTTGCTGACAGTGTCCACAAGCACAACTACCCTAGCCAAGCTTCGGGTCAGTTTTGTGAACAAAAGAGGGATTTGGGAATAGTACTCATATTTCCCTGGCTGACTGATGTTTGTGGGACTTGCCACCACCAAAAAGATAGAGGAAACAACCAGTTTGTGAAGATTCGCAGTGCTACTCGGCACAAAACCAGGTGGTGGGAGGTGCCACCCGGCACAAAACCCATGGTGGGAAGGTCTCACTCGGCACAAAACCATGTGGTTGGATGTGCTACTCGGCACAAAAACCATTGTTGGGTGGTCCGGCTCGGCGCATAATCCACCGGAGGGAACCAATGCTATTCAAAATACAATCCATTATTGGTATGCTTCACTACAGGCCGCTCGACGCACTTCAAACTTTCTGGAGCATCCTAGGTCCCAAGTTGGAACCCAAGAGGTCTAGTGGTTCATAGTCAAACCCACTGAGAGTCCCAGCCAGGTAACTGCCATTGTGGTCTTTGCCTCGATGCCGAAACGCAAGACATCGATGCCGGAACCCAAAGCGAAGGCAAAGGCGAAAGCTTCACCGTCCCTTCCTGCGATTCCACCAGATTCGGCCAAACTTCCTCATATGAAATTGTTGAATGAATGGTTGACTTTCAGCTAAATTGGAACATGTGAAATTCAGTCTTTGGTTCGTTGTTTGTTCATTGTGGATCGAAACATATCGAAACCCAATGCATCAAAACCGAGGGATGAAGTGCTTCGGGAACATGGTGCCCTGGACCTCTATTTGAACAAGATGCTGGACACCAAGGACAGCCGCCAAGTGGTCGTCACTGAAAACTGCGCAAATTGTGCGCGCAGCCAGGAGAAATGCATTGAGTTCTACAACTTCATCGAGGAAAAATATCCACCAGTACCGGGTGTGTCACTGACCCAGGGAATCTCGTTCCAGTGGTTGTTGACAAGATTTTGACAGCTTCAGCTTTTTTGAGGTCGTACGCAACAGAGGACTCGTTCGATTCACCTGGCGGTCACCATTTACGGCCTTGGATGTTGCCGCACCATCCAGACTACGGTCTGAGAGGGACATGCGATGTTGAACATTGCTTTGTATTGAGTATGTTTTTGTTTTTTCAAACCGCTCCTGCAAATTTGTCGAGCCCGATACTGACTTCCCTTTCCCCTGTGGTTCGTGCCTCCGTCTTCGACCAGGATGTCCAAAGATGCCTCGTCCAACTCATTGGCCTGAACGGGTTCTTGACAAATCCGGACTTGCCCGGAACGGAGAAGCTAGTGATTTGCACGGTGGATGAGAAGTGGCTCTCTGTCCGCAGGGTGTGGGTATCTGCTGCTGAGCTAGCTTTAGCCTCGGGGGAGAAGCTGATTTCTCCTCAGAGTGTTTTCACCGTCAAGGGGTTCAATCGCTCGGTATGCGCACTCTTGGTCCTTATGGCAACGATGGAGATGCCCGCACTCATGGAGGCCGGCGGGGAGGGAACGTCAAAAGGAATCACCGAATTCTGTGAGCTGTGGTGTGGATCAATCTTCACAACCTGAAAGCGAGGTCATGCCTAAAGAAGTGATCGAGTACTGACCTTAGCACTGTAACAACCGAGAACCCTTCATCATAAAATTCATTTCGTGGAACCTTGCAACCAGGTCTTTGAGTCTCGTCTACTGCACCAAGCAGAATGCAGAGCTGGCAAGTACAATCTCAACCCACCGAGGTGCTCCAAGTGCTTCATTGTTACACCTACTAGTCAACATTAAGCATTTCACCTAGTCAACATTAAACGGAAGATGCAAACGTCCAAGAGTATGTCATTCGTTGCCGATGGATCGCTTCAGGCGTGACCCTCACCAGCGTCATTCGCAGGCGCCCAAACTGTTTCAATTTGCTCCATCAAATGGAGATTCTCATGCGCGATGGGTGCACTACAGAATCCGCTGTGGAGGGACTTGAGGTGGGGAATTCTCATGAAGAAAAGCTAAAATGGCACCAGCGGGAACCATCAGGTCGCCCCCCATCCCTTTCGCGTTGGCAGGCCTTGGACTCGGCATCATCTGTGGCGGCTGCCTACTCGGTTGGTCGCACCGAGGCCGGTGCGGCCACCAACTTGCTGAAATCGGTCAGCGCTTCGACCCGAAACCAGCTGAAGGAGTTGGTGAGGCGATGCCCAACAATTTCAATCATTCGAAAACATGTCAATCTTGAGATGTCCGACAATATCAGATATCAATTCAATATCAATATATACCAATATATAAATCAATTCGTGGTCAGGATTCATGGGCAACCACGCTTTATCCTACACGATGGGATTGCAGCTGGCATTTTCAATGTGGACTACCGTGGGGTGGCTGGGTCTCTGGGTGCCTGGGAAAAGCATTTGTGGAACACCCAGGAGACCATTGACCTCATGCTGCGCCGCATGCGAAGTGATTTTGAGTCGCTGGCACCAAAGATGCGAAAGCCCTGGTCGCAGCAACAGCTAGACTCCTTTCAAACATCATGAACTTTTTTCATTTGCCAATGAAGGCTTGGGGGCGAAGATTTCACCCTGGACCCTTCCAACGTCGCTTTCCCGCACCTTGCCCAGGAACAGCTTCAGCGTACTTGCAGCATCTTCCTGGCGTGTTTGGCCATGTTTGGGGCGTCTGTGCCCACTGGGTACATGGCAGAAGTGAAGGATGAGATCATGTCAACGCTTCTCGTCTAGATAGTGAATGACCATCGTTCTCAGTGGAAGAAACTGGAAGAAACAGTTGAAGACACAACGCGAGTGAATCGAAGTGACCGAGCTGCTAAAAACCGATGCGAGGTTTGTGAATCGTCACGCAGATGCCGATTTGATGAACCTTGTTCAGACTTCGGCTCCACCATGTGATTTGTCCAAGATCGACTTGTTCAAAAACCACTTGGGTAAGTTCCAAAAGAAGGCTGGGTAAACACAACCTGTGCCACACTAACTTGACAGACTTCTTGGTCCAATCCTGTCTCCCCATTGCCCTTTGCTGCCTCCAACGTGGTGCAGGTCGATGATGAGAGCGTGAAGAAGGCTGCCGAGCCGCTCGTCGAATCAATCCAAAAAGATTTCACCCTGGACCCTTAAGAACCGCTCCAAAAACATGCATCAAACCAACACAGAGTTGCAAATGCACACAGTCTTGCTAAAACAATCCAATCTGTGTTAGTATGTGATACATGACAATGTGTTATGATTATGCTTTGATGTAGGGTGTACTGTCAACATGTTTCCATGAGGCTGGAGGCCGCATTGCTACAAACGACATGGTCTCAAACAGAGCTGACCATCCAGAGTGACATCAACGCGTTGCGGGGTTGGGCGGACAAATTCAAACTGTTCGCGAACCAGCAGGCGCTTCTTCTTTCAAGTTCGTTTTAAAGAGTTGATCAACCGAGAAATCCGTAGTTTGTCAGCCAGTTTGTCATGTTGTCAGGGTTGGCTCGATCTGCAGTACCTTGCCAGTCGCTATGAGAATGGTAAGAAGGCGGTTGCAGACTACATGGCCCGTCGCCACACCTTTGGCGCCTTCAAGAACCTGATGCTGTCGCAGGGTGAGATCGTGTCGAAGCAAGCTGCGCTGGGAAAATCGGCGCTTCTCAGCTAAATGGTTTGCGCTTAAGTTTCGGGTGTCAAAATCATGAGCGCGTTCTCATTCACTGGCCAGCTCAGGCTGACCATCATTGTCATTGACTGCACTGATATCAACAAGAAACAAAATGGTGTTTGTATCCCTCTCCGGTGTTTTGCTCAGGCGCATTGTCGGTGGACGAGGCTTTCACGCTGGCCCAGGCTGTGTGCGGAGGAAACGCTGGAACCATGGCATTTGTGTTGATGCCACAACCTCACTCCAGCTGCTCTCACACAGCGATTTTGGCACACAGAAGGATCTTGGAGGACAAGGCCGTGGCGACGCTTGATGGCATCACATTCTCATGTGCGTGCTTGTGCGTGTGTGTGTGTGTGTGTGCGCGCTCTTGTTTTCTGTGTGTCTGTGCGCTCGTGTCTTTTTCTGTGACCTAAGGGGGTTCGACGTGAATGAAGTGTCCCTCAATTTCAGCGACAATGTTCATGGCAACGACCGGCGGAAGACCAGTCAGCAATGCTACTGGGTGAAACATTATGCAACTTCTTTTCGACCTGCAACGGACGCAAGCGAAGTTCTATGTGTGGCAATCTAAGGCCTTGCTCTCACTTCTGGTGCGCACCGGGAATTCGCAAGGGCGAAGTGCGTTCTCGGAACAATAAAGGACATACAAAGATCGAGAGTTTCGGAGTTGCAGAACCCAGAAGAAGACAAGCCTCTAGCGCCACACTGGCGTGTTCCTAGGCTAAGGGTGCAATGCGTACTTTTGTTGTGCTAGGTGGTGCGTCCTCTACCGAAATAAACCGATAGCTTGAATGGCGGTGCTTCTGTAAGGTGCAGCAGCGGGGTGTCGATGCTACTGGTGAAGTGGTGAACAAGCTCTTGGAAGGTTTGTCGCTGCAGGATTCCCAACCAGTCCTGATCGTAGACTGTTTGCCGAACAGGTTCCTTGATCGACTTGTTGAAATTGTTATATATTATTATTATCAACACTGAAAAGCTATGACATCGTTTGAAACATAAAAACATATACGCCCATACAAAAAACACCTGCTCTTCACCCAGCTCCCACAACCGGCCTAGGTTTTCGGAATGGTCCATTGCCTGCTGCAAGAAGCAGCTGTCAGTGCTGGTTGATGGAAACCCGGGACCATCATTCCACTACATGGGGTTGTTTCTGGAGGACGATGCAAAGGTCATGACCAAGAACAGTTCAACCATAGCTGGGATGCTCATGACACAGTGGTGGGATGAGTCAGGGGAGGCAGGACCCAAGAGGCGACCCCGCGCCAAGTTTGAAGAGGCCTCGCCAAGCCTGCAGACACTTACAATTGCAAATGGGGCCTGCAAGATACTCGACTTCATTAGCGCCCAATGAACTTTGAAGAAAGTGTTTCTCCATCATGCTAAACCGGGGTCGGTGCATATTTTTCCCTTTTCCCTTGGGTTGCATCAGCTTCTGCTTAGGATTCCGGACATGATCAAGAACAAGTACCTAGCCAGCCATGCCGCCCAACTCAAAGCTGTGGAGGAGGAGCTTGCTAAAGACCGGAACGTCGCAGCGGCTTTGAAAGGTTCTGCTGGGGAGCTTCCTGGTCCCGAGCCTGCCCCATCTCCTACCGGGTCTACCGTTCCCACACCTGCCCCAGCCCGGACAGTGGCAACCCCTGACTATGAAGGCTGCGCAGTCCCCAGCTTTGACAAAAGGGTTGACGTGAGCCCCAAGCCCATGGAAGAGTTCACGACTGGCCGAACGTTCTTTAGTTTAAGATCAATTTTCTCCTGTGAACCTTTTGTGCTTCATTTTCCAACTCCCCACCAAATAAGCATCTACCATGATTGCTTCTCAGGTTGCATTGCAAAGCTGCTTTGCAGAACTCGCAAATGCATGTGGGCAAGGATCGCAACGATGAGAGCTTCTGGATCAACGAGACCGGTGAGAATGAGTCGATCTCAGCCCGTGAGCTTTTTGGGTTCAATGTTGGCTCATTCAATGAGTTGACAACAGGATTTGACGGGGTGATTGAAAGTAACCAACCATTGTCGCTAGATTCGCTCGGCCCACATGTGCTTTAAGTGACCTTCAATCGCTGTCCCTGCGCTCGCAACCCCGCTTCCTGGTAGGAGATGCCAGCACCGTCGTCGACCAGGTCCCATGGCTCATCACATCGGACCTTGACGTGGTGGTCTTGGTGACCGGCGCTGGTGGTGCTGTGGAGAAAACGGTTATGACCGTGGCAGACGTTCTTTGCAACGTCACCAACACCCGTGGTGTTACTGAAGTTACCATCGTGGATCACGATTTGGAACCAATGGTCAAGGATCATTGTGGTGTTGTTTGACATTATTCGACCAATACGATGGAATTTCAATGACATGTCAACATTGCAAATCAACCAAGTGTTGTTTCTAACATGTTGAAACTTGAAACCCACCGACAGGAGACAGGTTCAGGGCCAGTCCAGAGGCAATTTCGCTTCAACATCACACCAAAGGGCAAAGTCAACTGCTTTAAGCCGAAGCCTATGGATGGTGATTTGTTGAATGTGCGGTACAGCCAATTCGGCGGATGCTTCACCAACCTCGACAAGCTTCCGAAGTCCCCCAATTGCCAAGTGCTGTGGGAGGCACATCTTGACCAAACAACTTACTACATGTTTTGATTGCAAGAGTGGCTTCATAGGACTGGGAACCATGATTTTGGACCCTGAAGGTCCGTGTGAGTGATGGCGTTCCAGCAATTCTTCAACCGCTCAAGCCAAAATTTTATTGGTTGGGAGTGGCAAGCATTCCTGCCAAATCGGCAGTCTTGCTCCAATAGCTTCTTTGGATTTGTGTCCAGTAGATTCTTTGGGCGGTGGCAACCAGCTGGCATATGGGTTTTGTGTGTCCATGGCTGTCACCCAATATCACTCTGATTGAATACCTTTTCCTTCGTCCCCAATGTGTCATTGTGTCATTCAATGATCTCATCGAACAGCTGGGGCTACACAAGAATGCCTGGGGTGCCACGCACTGGCGATCAAATCGAGCTCCCCGTGCAAACTCCTGCTGGCCGGGTCGTTGTGACATGTTACACGAATTGCATGTCTAGCGATTGCTCACGTTTGAACAAGTCTGAATACAGTCTGAACACATTCTGTATGAATGTTCTTACATTATGCTGTGCTTGAAGTTTTCAAGCCGTGTATTTAGAGGTCTCCAGAGGACCATTGCCATGGTGTTGGGTGCGGTGGATGCGCTTAGCGATGATGATCCTAAGCAAACACCTCCACCCAAAACTGGTGAGTCGAAACCGGTTGGCAAAGCCAAAACAAAAAGCAGTCCAAAGCCAAAGGCCAAAACGAAGGCCAAGGGTGTAGCCCCAAAAGTGGCTGTTGAACCCAAACCCAAAGAGAATGTCGATGAACCGGAAAAGCCAGTGATGAAACGGCCAGCTGCAGCCTCCGGTTCGATGGCGGGAGCGCCCATGAAGCGGCCGGCGGGTAGACCAAAGGATCCAGACCATATCAGTACTAGCAAATCTCGCTATCCAAACGGTGTTTACTGCATCAAACTCTTCGGGAAGGAAGTCATTAGGGTGTCTAGTTTGCACTTGGCTTGTGATGCACAGAACCTTGAAACTGTGATGTATGTGCATGTTGAGTCTTTCACTCCAATATGAGGAGTCGTGCGCCACTGAAGGTGAAGCCCGATGCTAAAATCTCCGAAGATGACTTGGAACAGATTGCCGTTTCTTGGCCTTTCACCCATCAACTTGTTAACCGTGCAGGTCTTTCAACAAATCGTTGACAGTGATGGTTTGCGGTTTGCCATGGATGTCTTGATCATCATCTCATCTGCTGCAAATCAAGGCTGCAGTTCGAGATGAGCTGGTTCGAACCAAAGGTGACGTGTCAGCGGCGAAAGCTCTCCAGGTGCCTTGATGGGAGCTTGCGCCAAAGTTCAATTGGCACTGAACACACCACTCATTTTTTTTAAACATGTTTGGGCATCAGTTGATGGACATATATCAACATGATATCAACGATTCAGAATCCTTTGATTCAGCTCTTTGTGGTGAATGACATCAATTGATTTCCGATGCACATCACTGCAAAACAGACTCATTGATTTCTTTCTGGGGGTTCCGTCAATCACCACCTGCATCTATTGACGTGCATCGCCCCTTCCCAGGAGTCCATGTCGGCTGAAGCCAAGCTCAAGGCCCGCGAGGATCCACCACCTGACAAGGGCGAAGCTGCAGCGGAGACAAAGGATAAGACCGCGGTGGTGAGCGCGGCAATGGAGCCCGCGGCAGTGGAGCCAACGGCAATTGATGGTGAGGGATGTGAGGGAGAGGAGGAAGAGGCAATGGCTCTAGATAGCGTTGTGGAGGCGCACGGAGGGATCTGGAATCTGACTCAGACTTGGAACTTATATAACATAATCTTAACATAATCAACGATAGAATGATCAGAGGTTTGATCACACATTCAATGCACTGTGTTGGAAGTACTTAATCACAGATATGGAACCTTACCTGCCTGGCAGGAGATCGAATAGACACAGATTTTCCTGGCCTGGTCGCAGCATCGTGATGCTGGACGCTTGCACCTGGGCCATTTTCGACTTGTAAGCAAAGCGTCGGACTCCGGTTAAAAGAACATCGCATGAGCTGTGTTCCAAGTGCCAGCATTATTTATTTGAAACAAAGCACAGGTTGAAGCGCCACTGTATCAGAAACCCATGAATGTTTCCAGCATATTCGACAGTTTTTGCGTCAAGCTTTGTGGGAACTCGGGGGTGGGTGCGATGGAACCCCATGATTCCGGGAGAGTTGCACCTTCGTTAATGGGTCACTCGGTGAACATGAACCTTCGTATGTGACTTGTGAAACCATCAGCCGCCAAATGGCTATGAATGCCAAATTCAGTTTGGCAATGGTGATTTGATCGATTGCGAAGAAGTGAGTGAGAGCGATGATTCCCGAATCGGTGCTCTACTGGTTTGGGTCTACAACTTTTTTGTGCACCGTGTGCTTGATAAGTCCGTTGTTGCTCATGAACAGCTGATCTTTGTGATCAAAAATGCAAAAATTACCGAAGAACCATGGTCTGCTCAAATCGATTGCTTTTCCATTTGGGAGCAAACTGATGCAGTTGTCACCTTCAAACTGCGTCGCAGCAAAGACTGATGCAAACTTTCCGGTGAGTTTCGAAAAAAAACCTTGCGCACTCGTCAAATTGAATCGTGGCACACTAAACCCAAATAGACTAAAACCCTGTTGGCCCATGTTTTGTTTCCATGGTTCTTTTGTAACTTTTGTTGGGTTCCCGGTTGGCCTAGGCACCTATCGTGAGGGCCACCTACCAACTGGAAGGCCAGGTCCATCGCAATTTCCTTTCATTGTGCAAGAACTATGAGTTCGCCGACGGCCTGACCAAGGTGGACAAAAAGCTCATGTACATGTTCAGGGCATGGCTCGAAAGTCCGATGGCTGTCTTGGTCGAGCATCCTGAGAACGCCACCGTTTTGGCGAGGTTGGAGGACAGTGTGGCCAAAAAGAAAAAGACCAGTGAGAAAATCGTGCAGGCATTCGCTTCCATGTTGACCACACTGCCCTTTCGGCCCCACGTTTAGGATCCTCGAGCCACTGACGTTTTCGCGTTCGCGCGGTGCGGAAATGGTGCGCCGCTGACACGTCGTGCTTTGACAAGAGTATGAAAGAACACGGCCGGAAGCACTATGGATCGCCAAATGGATCGCCAGGTTTTGGAGGGTTTTGCATGGTTTTGGTTTTGCATGGTTTTGGTTGTATACGATCATCTAATCTGAAGCTATTGCATTTCGGCGAGCCAGCAACCATGGTGTACCCAACAACCCGTAGCATGGTGTACCCAACATGTTGCTTTACTAACATTGGCCCGGCCAGGCACAAAGGTTCGGAGAAGGATGTTCTGATAAACCTTAAGTGATACAACCCTTGACTCGTCCAAAGTGGACATCAGCAGAATGATGGATGGCTTCACAACAGTCAGAAGCCAACTCGATCATGCTATTTTGCCAATCCGAAGCCCAAGCGCCTGCAGGATGTAGCCGGTGCAACTCGAGATAGGTCAATAGAATTTGTTGGGTTCGCTTTGAGCTACCGATACCTGGCGAATTGGTACCGTTCGACCGATGAGCTCAACGCTCAGAGGTGGAAAGTCATGTTCAGCAACTACTCTCAGAGGTGACCAAGACCGAATCCAAGGAATTTGGCCCCCAGCTTCGAAAGAACTCGCTGAACTCGCTCGTGTTCCGCGAAAGCTTGGGAAGATGGCTCGTGGTAGACCAGGTGTGGTAGACCACGTCCTTGACGAAGGGCTTTCGTGAACCTCCAAGACGACGCGACCGACGTCCACGTTCAGTCCACGTTCAGTCCAAGGACCTTTCGTTCCCTGAGAAGTGGCCCCACATGGTTCGATATAAAGCCGAGGCCACTCGGTTGGAGGTCACACGCTTCAATTATATACTGAAAAGAAACATGATCTTGTCAATGTTGGGTCACGCAAGCGGTTTGTGAGTGCAGTTCAGGCTGTTTGTCCTGACTGCAGAAGGTTCTTCCAGCCACTTCCTTGGAAAGAACACCACCACTTTGCTTGCCCAGTCTCCATGCACAAACTGCACCACCAGGTTTCCTGGTATTTGGTGGACAATTCTGATTTGCAAGCCAGCAGCTACGGCGCGACGCCCAGTGTGACGCGCACACATATGTTTGAAGCAAGATGTTGCATGGGGTGTGTGCCGCACCCCTTGTTGGGGTTGGATGAGAGGTGAGCACCAAAAAAAACAGCAGATAAGGCTAACTTTGGGTGTCCTTTTGACCCGCGACAGTCAGAGTGGTTTCTAGCAGGTTTGCTCACCTGCGGTGTGATTCTGTATGTTTCTTGGCATGTCTTTTTGTGCGAAACGGAGCAGCAAGCTCTCTTCGGTGGACGCTCCAATGAGGGGCCCCAGGTCGATTTTTTCCCTAAAGCCATGGCCGCAACCCGCGGTTCCGCAGGGTGGCAAGTGGACAGCCGACCTGAGGAAGGCATCACTTCAAGATCACGTCACGCAACGACCTGAGGTTGAGGCGTGAGCCTCAACCCCCCTTTATAGATTGAAGTGATACACTGGACTGCCAGTGTACTGTCGATGACTTTCTTTAGCTGGCCAAGCTACTGTGCACGGTGGAGCGTTTCCTTTTGGGGAGCATGACTTCTTCCTTCGAATGACAGCAGGTGGTGTGCAGTGTGCATCCCTTTCACATTGGTGAAGAACCTTCGAATTCACAATGACCAGATGTGGACTTGGAGTACTTCACTTGGGATGAAGGGTCAAGATCTCCAAACGCAAACAGAACATGTCCAACTCACCCAACTGAACCAGTCCGCCCAGTCGCAGGCGCCTGTCGGCCGACACGGGATCGTGGCATCGGTCGGCCGCATGGAGAACGCCAGTGGCGCAAGGTGACAGTCCGAAGGGGTCCATGGTCGCTGGTTGGATAGCACCAAGCAGTTTGACTGGTGCGTTGGCGATCGAGTCTCCCAAAAGGTGATGAAGTGGAGAGTTGCAGGATTCTCCCTGTTTCTCCCGCGAAACCGCTGCTATGGATCCATGGAACCCGTACCCAGACGCGAAAACGACGGGTTTCGAGGTGTTAAGGGCATTTGAAAATGTCTGGACCTTCCGTGCTCCCTTCGGCTGACCTGACATCCTTTGTGCGTGAACTGACCTGAGGCTTGGGCTATCGAGCCTCGAAAGACCTAGAGGATTTGGTCCCCAGCAAGGCTGCAGCTGGGAGGCCCCAGTACGACCGAGGTCCCGCCCCCACTCAAAACGACCGAAGATCCGAAGACGGTCGGTCCCGTGCCGCGTTGGGCGACCGCGGAGGGATCGGTGAAGGGAATGTGTGCGGTTGCATACAGGTGCCATCTAGAGAGTCTGTGAGCGAACTCTGGAGCGGTTTTTTTTTCCGTGAACATGAAGCGAATCCCGATGAATCCGGTGGATTCTGTGGACTGTGGATGTGGGGCACTGATAGCTCGCTTGGGATTCGGAGAGCTCGCTTGGGAGCTGGTGGGACACTGATTTAACAATAGATACAACAGGCATGGGGTGGCCACCCACTCCCATGTCGCTGTCATTGTTTGCGGCTCATGCGTTGAGACTCGACCGACCCTCACAGTTCGGTTTTAGGCCCCGTCGCCGCTTCTTCAGGTGCAGTCGTTTGGACTGTTCACCCATGCCGATGCCTCCCCATGGGGCCAATTCCTTTTCTGAGGAAGGTGTTTAGATGTGTTTAGATGTTTTCCAGGTTCCTCAAGCAAATCCAAGCCTAGCAGATGACATTTGTTTCCCGCCCTGCGGTAGTGTCCAACTCGGGCAGAACACCCGCTTTCCGCGCACGAGGTCTGGGGCGAACGCGTGGTGGGACAACACCACGGGGATGGATGGATTCAGGCGGACCGACCGACCCTATCGCACCAACCCTCCCACGGTGTGGGGCGACGGTGTTTGGTGTTGGGCGACGGTGTTTGGCGACGTGACCAGTTGGTTTGAGCGGAAGAGTGCTGAATTCAAGTGTGTGTGTGTGTGTGCCCCTTGTAGTCACAGGGATTCATTTGAATTGTTTTTA